CGACCGACCCTGCCCACTTTTGACCGATTTATGTACAATACGCTAATTGCAAAGTCAGCGTCTCACTCGCAGCAGCAGTGTGTTCACCTCTACCCCCTTACCTCTTACGTTCAAACGTACTACGACTATTTCAGCGCTCGCCAGTATTGCCAATAGTATGGGCATTAATAATCATAGATACGACGTCATAGTGTCAGTCACTTTATGTTGACACTCCTGTGTTGGATGGAGACGACATAGCGACACTTCACCTCATGTTTTGCTTTCTCTCTCTCTCGCCACCTTCTCCTTCTCCTCTACGTGTCATTAAAGCGTGCGATCTACTTATCAGTCAACCATTTACTGTTCATTGCCATCAATATCGCTGCTTCTCTTTGCCATTACAATCAGCAAGGCTGTGCATCATCAAGTGATCAATTGATCTACCTCCCACCACACTTCAGTCTACTTGTCACGTCCCACATCAGTCTTCAACCTACCTCATCCTGTAATCCTCTACCCACTTGACCACCACAGTCTCACCTCTCATTCAGTCCCACAAATAAGGTCAAGCATTGCTCACTTACCAACACTCTTGTAAACTCACTACCAGCAGACACTCACTCTCCTTCTCGCCTTGACAACCTCACTATTTATCCTCTTCTTTCCCAAATTGTCATCAAACCCTCAATCCACAATGGCCGCGCAATCGCAGCGCGGACACACCGTCCCGCCTCACAGCGCAGTGACTGATGTCACTCGTGGGGTATCCAGCTTTCGACTTCGCCCCGGCAACAGCCCCTCCACCAAAGGCCCCACCACCAATCGTCCCTCCGCCAATAGTGCGTCCAGCAACACTCCACAGCACTTCATGAATGACGTATCCGAACAGATGAATCGGATGACCGTAGCGTCAAGAACATGATTAACTTAAGCATGAGGCCACAGCTGGATGCATTGCGCGAACTCGTCACGACTACCTAATACCGGACCATCGCGCACAGCGAAGGATTCGACTAAATTGATTGCGATACGGCTGACTGATGTCGACTCTACATTTAGAGAGGGGATGAGTATAATTAACGCGAAACTGAACTGGCTCAACACTCGTGTCAGCAACTTAGAGACAACCTCTATAGAGATCAAGTACAGAAGTCTTAAAATGCAAGCTATGGATGAGAACAATTCTATCTTCGATATGGATACCCGGAACAAAGTCGGCCCGTAACCACCCAGGTTGGGTGGTAGGAATAAAGTCGGCCCGTAATCGCGCTAAATCATCTCCCCTGGCTTTCCTAAAAACATCAGAGCAGCCTACCGCCTCTCCCGAGAAGCTCAGGAAATCTTTGAAGGTAGCAAGTGGGAGCGCGCGAGCCCTAAGGAAAGTGAGTCGTCCTATATTCTCTCCTCGCCACTTCTCTGCTCCTTTGCCCTCCCCTTCCTCGCTCCTCCCTCTCAACCCGAATCTTATACAGCAATGCTGACCAAACTCTTTCCAGAGCACTATGCACATCTACGAGCACTCCGCACGATCACAGGGCTCGTCAGCGCCTACGGCGTCTGCACACAAACTATCCACGATAGCGACTCCGAGTCCACTGATATGAACATCGATAAATCTTCTGCCAAGGTCTATATGAAGCGGCTTATGGGGGCATGGGGGGTGAATTGGCAGAAGGTGCTGAGGCGGGAGGATTTGCCGCAGTGAGGAGATGCGGAGGGGATGGGAACGGAGGATTGGGTACGTACGTAATAAGCAGGCGGCTATGGCGGTGATATTCATGATTTACGCGGGCTAGTCGGCGGAGATGGGGGGATTATGCAGGGTGGTTGGGTAAGCTGTTGCTCTGCGGAGTTCATGGCTTTCGCAAAGTACGAAGGCCGCAGACGGCGGCAGTGGGAGTGGACATGCCCTTACTTTGAAATCATGTATGCGTGCGAGACAATTCTTTGCTTTCTGACTGCCTAATGGCAAGATCTTGCCTCTTTAGCTCATCAAATAACGAATTCATTACTTGACCCAGAACGATCACCTACTCAACACTTTCCTTCCTCCCCCATCTTTCCCCCAACATACCATTACGCGAAGACGAGGCCACTAAGCAAATCTCAATACTCCATAGCCTACAAACATCTCTCCTCCTGCTCAGCACGCCACCACCACCAAATACAAACCATCCTCCAACATCACCACCTCCATCAAAACCTCCCTTCCCATTCAAAGAAAGTGCCAGCGACCTCCGGCCCCAGCACTTCCACCTGTCCTCTCCCCATTACCCCCTTCTTCCCCCCCTCAAACCCTTGCCCCCATCCTACGCACGCGCAGGATGAGAATGACACCGCATCTCATCCATCTCCCTCTCCCTCTCCCTCTCCCTCTCCATCACCACCATCACGTCACGCTCACAACTACTACAAAGGAAGGCTAGAGACAGCACTCAACTCCCCGCCCCTCCCAGCCCCTCCTTTTAATACCCCCTGAGCTTTTTCTTACAGTGGCTTCGACGGTCTTTGTTTTATTTCGCTACCATCTCCTGATACCCTCCAAGCTTTTTGGCGGTAGCTTTGAGTTGGCTCCTTGAGGAGATGTCGGGTGTTTGTTTGGTGTGTCTTTCGATTTGATAGAGCTGGAATGACTCGGAAGGGGGTTAGAGGGGGGGGGGGTGGGTGAGGGAGCGGGGTGTTGCGAGAGTGAGTGAAGGGGGGGATTGGAGCGTGGATGGGCGGTGAGCGCATGTGGGAGGAGAGGAGAGAGGGGGTTAGAGTGCCGATGTTGGTCGTCGTGCATGTCGCAAGTCGAATGTCGTTGTTGTGTTCATGTATGATGAAGTTGCGGACTTGGTCGTGCGGTGGGCGCTCGGCCTGGAGCCACCGGGGGAGGGGAGGGCTCAAATCGAAGTAGTGATGGATGGCTTTGAGGTGGGACCATTGGAAGGGAAGGGAACCCGAGTGTGGGGAGTCCGTGTGGAGGATTTGATATGGAGGGATTGGTGTGGAGGGCAGATGCGGAGGAATGGGTATGGAGGAAGTAGCACGGTCTGTTGAAGAGGAGAGGCAAGGATCTGGTCGATGTTCTGGAGTGTGCTGGTTGCAGGATTGGGGCCGGAGGGGGTTGAGATGCGGTGGACTTGGGCGGACCGAGCACCTCATTCGATTTTCATAAGCTTGTCACCCCTTTTATCAAGCTTCATCTCATCAAAACTGCCAAAGTAGACGCACATCGCTGTCCTGCCCCTCAAAATTACGCTACCATCAAAGTTTCTCCCTCCAATGCACTGCCTTCGTACGCGAGCATACCCATTCAAAACCCTTTCTACAGCTCCAGACCTCAGCTCTTTCATTTGCTCAGCTGTCAACAAAGAGATACCTGCCGCTTCAAACCCTCCACTCTGTGTGACCAGCGTGCCTTTTCCACAACTCAGCAATGGATTTTGAGAAAGAGGAGACGACGTCAAAATTGCCATGACAGGGCAAGTACGTCGTTCAACCTTCGTAGATTATAGTTCGGAAAGCATGCTCTATTCTTCAGCAGCTCATTTGCTTTCCTCTTTTCCCCTTTCTTCGATCCACAAGGACAAGCAATAGCCTCTACCAACACGGGAAGAATTCGTGCAAGTCTTTCAGTACTAGTCTGAGAGGGAGAGCGGAGCAAGGTTAAAAAGGCGTCATGATTGACTTCGACGGTACATGAAGATACTGGGAACCACTCATTCGCATTTGTACGAGGTCGCAGAATGCAAGCAGGGAGTGAAACCAGTGAGGGCAGGTCATGCAGGTTGTTATATGTGATGGAGAGATGATTTGAATGGATTAATTTGAGAAGTTCCTCTTTTTTACTTTATTTTTTCCGCAGTCCGGATTGCGACAGGGTTACTGCCAATCCTACCCTCCTATTGAATCCCCTCGAACATTGCTGTCGGAGTGTCCGGCTCAAAGTCCGCAGTCACGTGTGACTTCTGAATAGAGTGGGTGAGTTATCCAGCGTCATTAATCTCGACTGGGCGAAGGTAGAGATTCGCCTCTTGAGCCCTTGTCTATCGATGAATGGAAGCAAAAGGTTATTTTGCTCTGCGAGTATACTCTTTCTCAGCGCGCGGCGTTCTTCCTCCCCCCACAGAATATAAAAGAAAAAAATGTGGAAGACACCAGGACAACGAAACACACCTCAACAAGCCACTCGAGCGCCTCCCTCTCCCTTACCTCCCTCAGTCTCACCTCTTTCGACTCCTCCCTCAAAAACCTCCCTCAACTTCCCCCCCAAAACTCTCTCAATAATCCCCTCAACTCCTCCCTCAGCTCCGCCCGCAAACCGACGATCACCTCCTCTCAAAGGGCGAGGGCGGCGGCGGCGGTGGCGGCGGCGGTAGCAGTGGCTACTATTGTTAGGGGTAGTGGGGATGGTCTGGTGATTAGTGGTGGCTTGAGGGCGCGGCGGGGGGGACGATGGGCTCGGTTAGTCGTGGTGATGAATTCGGCATTAGAGGGAGTTGGGCTGGGAGCGGTAGAAGAGTTGTGGGAGTGGGGCGAAGGCGGGTGAGGAGAGAAGGATGGAGGCGCAGAAGGTCCATTGGTGGGAGGGGATGGGAAGGATGCGGTGGGCGTGGATGGGGTGGATGCTGCTGCGGCTGTTGGTGGTGGTGGTGGAGGTTGCGGCGCCGGTGGTATCCCTTTTCAAGAGCTATCTGATAGCATTATTGTAGCGTTAGTACCCTGTGAAGAGCATATGCGAGAAAGCGCAATAGAGAGGGCGACAAGTTATGAAGTAGCACGAGTACTGCATGGATGCTGGTATTCATGCTTCATGCAATTTTGGGTATCATAATGCTACTTCTCGTCCTCCATTGCCATTACCGCGTCTTCATCATTCAGTGCCTTGCCTCTGGGCATATATCATGCATGCAGTTTCAGTCATTCAAACCTGTATGCCTTGTTGAGCATGGCTGCTTCGATATCATCCCAGCCGCTTGTTGCCCTGTGTTTGATGTGGACTGCCGGCTTGATCAGGGCTAAGACCTGGATTCTCAGCCTTCGATTACCGGCAGGCCTAACTGCTGGGCCTCGTCGTTTGTGAGTATTGGCTGCTTCTGCTTTTTCAGCTCCTTATTGTAGATATTGTGCCGCATAAGGAGCAATTCTTGGCGACGGGTGAATAAACCCCATTCAATCACGTTATGCAACCAGCGAGATCCCAGCTCGCGGGATTCATCGTCGCGTAGCGATACTGATTTGATGAGATTCATATGGTCGACTATTGATCCGTCCTGCATGACCTCCGCCCAATTCACGTAGACTTCAAAACACCCTGCGGACAGGGTAAAGGTGAATACGAATGTAGACCAGTCAGGGAAGGATCCCGAATTGTTCGGGTCCCGATTCCTTGATTCATTGTCATTCATGCCAGCGAAGCGGTGGCGGAGCTCGCGGTGGACAGTCACGAGCGTTGCGCCATCGCGAAGTCCCTGCATAGTCAATTCTGTGAGGTCGCCTCCGCTCCCCTTACCCTCGAAAATACAGAAAGGATGGTGTAGTAATGGACATACTTCAAACAGAATGAAGACCTCTGAGGGCGGGAAGAGACGTTTCGGTTTGGTATAGTCAAAATACTTCACGTGAAATCCTAACGTCCGATCTAGCACAGGGTCTGTCAACGCCCAGGCATCTCCTTTATAGTCTTTCAATACTGTGAGGACAGCTTGAATCTTTGTCTTGACTTGGTTCTTAATGTACGGAGTCTTGGTAGCTTTCATAAGGCCGTGGCGCTGCCACTCGTTTTCGTCCGCCAAGTTGAAGGACAAAGTCGGGTCTTGCCGTTTCCCAGCCTTCTCTTTCTCGCGTTGCTCGATCTGAGTCTTTGTTTGGGGCGAAGCTTCAAAAGTCGCTTTGGCAAGCATTGGTAGGACTGTTTCGAGGAAGGTGTCTTCATAAGCACGAGTGTCTTCTATCGCTGCATTGAACCGGGCTTGCTCCTTTTGCTTTGAATGCTCTGGCATCTTGGTAGCTGAGGTGCGCACGGGTACGACGATTTGCTTGATATGTGCCCAGAAATTTGGGTATTCCTGTATCGCTCCATCATTCAAGAGAAAACCAAAATTGTCGAGCTGATGCTGGAATTGGCTCTGGGTATGGCTGGTCTTCTGCTTCTTTGCACTTTGCGATGTCTGCGGGGTTGAGGGAGTGTTATCACTTGGAGGCTGGAGGTCAGCCATGGTGCTTGGTGTTGAGGGTGGCGAGTGGGAGATGTGCTGAGGAGGAGAGGGGGGTGGTTCTTGGATGCTTCTTCTGCGCTTAAGGGTGGGACTGTTAGGGTCAGCAGAAGGTATCATGAGATGCGTTATTAAGACTTACAAGTGAGCTGTATCGAGGCAGGCGGAGGCTTCGGTCGGTGGTGCACTTGAGGCCTTCGTTAGACACGAACCGTGAGAGGAGGCAGACGCGATCCAGCTGTTGATGGTGTCGCTGACGTAAGGCGCGAGATTGGAGCTTGAAGGTGGTCGAGCTGGAGGCGAAGAGGTAAGAGAGTGATTCATGCCGTGTGAGGTAGCACAAGAGAGTCAAGGTGAATGATGAATGTGAAGGTAGGAGTAGACATGAATGAAAACAATTAGAAGGCTTGGTAAGATAGAGTTGGCTTATCGATAAGAAGCGTGGCTTGTGGACTCCAATACGCCACTGTGGCTCATTCGAACCCTCGCGCCAGACACAAAAACTCTGTTGAGGGCACAAAATTGAGTCTTACCAATGGCCGACCAAGACGCTGAATCATGTCGCATTGGCTTCTTGAATACCGAGCCTCTTGCTCTCAAAGGTGAGCGCCAGCATATTTCAGCCTTCAAAAGACATGCGCTTCTCAAAACCTCACCTGATTCAGCCATGCTGCTCTCTAAGATTGTGGTATAATGAATGCCCGACTGCCGTGGGTGACAACATCCACGGCTTCGGATACTGACCGATTTAAGCAGTTGCAGTGTCGCCTCCTAACGCCAACTTCTTCTTTCGCTGAGGTGGGCAAAGACTCACGTCGGCAGACAACCACCGTAAGTTAGCCCACAAATCGTGCAACTTCGACATAGTAGTACTTCCCGATTGAGGATTCTTCTTCGGCATTCTCCTCGGCCAACTGCGATATTTGTTAGATGTGAATGCTAAAGCCAACCTCTTACGCCCGTCAACTCATGTGCAAATCTGCGTGGAAGTCTTTTGAATTTACGAAGACGACATTGCGGCCACTCTTCACAATATACGATTTACCTCCGATAACCGTTGCAAATGACAGCGGTACAGAGCAATGATTTTGATCGTCTCATGTAACGCTGACGAACATCGGACGTGGGAGCATTTACAGAATCGGCGCAGATACACTTGGAGCTCCGAGTCCTTGCTAAAGCAGATGTGCAGTCCAAGCATTCCTTCGCCGAATTTGAATCTTTTTCGCCTTGAGTCTGCGCTATGGGCTCAAGCGCAGACATTCGAGATTAAACAGGCTTCATTCCATATCTGTAGATATCCTCCACTATCCTCCATCTGCTGTTAGTCGCGGCTGACTCGACTCCTACACCATCCTCTCTACCACCCTCTCCATTACCATTCCCACCACCATCCCCACCACCATCTCGATTTTAACCAACCTTCCCATTTACCTGCCCATCCTCCCCATCCTCCCCATCTTTCCTATCCTCCCAGCCTTTTACACCCTCATCAACCCTCCCTCAACATTCCATTACCCCCCAACTTCTATCCACCTCACCAGCATATCACCGCATGAATCTTAAAGGCGTGGGAAATTGAGGAGGGGGGAGACGTGTCTTTGCAGAGATCTGGGGTGGGGGCGGAAGATAGGGGGAAGAATGGGCTGGGGGGCACTAGGGGGGTTTGGGGGGCTTTTGGAAGGATTGGGGTGGATTGGGGGTGGATTGGGGGGGATTTGGAAGGATTGGAGGGGATATTTAGGGGGATTTGGGAGGATTTGGGAGGGTTGGGGGGATTGGAAGCGATCAAGGGGATGGGTGAGGAAGAATAGAGAGATTAGGGGGTTTAAGGGGACTGGGGAGATTGGGGAGAGAGGATGAAGAGACAAGGCAAGGCAGAGGACGGCTAGTAAACAACAAAGGAAGAAAACAAATCAAATCAGGAGGCGCAGACCTAGCATCCGCAAGGAGAGCAGACAGTAAAGATGGTGTTTTGGGTGGACAAATATCATCTCTAGCTGCTACGCGTTAACAATATTGGGGTGCGGATAGGGAGAAAACAAATAAACACAACACAGCGGGATAAGTATAATAACTACCTCTGCACTGCGCGCCACGAAAGCGAAATTGTTGGAGAAAATAACCCATACCAGGGGATTGGTTATTATCATGCGAAGAACGAGTATCTTGCGGAGAATGACCCATACTATGGTATTGGTTATTTCGGTTTTTTTTCTTTTTGCACATTGAGATTCTCTTGGAAGATACACTCCAGATGGTATACTGTAAGCTATCATACGCCGGTCGGCTCTGTGTCTACAAGGTATGGGTATAGGCTGCAATAGGTCTTCGTTAGTTATGTAGACGGTTAAGGCAGGGCAGTTGAGGAGAATGCATAGCGAGCTTTAGGAAAGCGAAAGCGACAAAGCGTGAGAAGGCTTGAGGAGGAGAGAGAAGGCAGATAAAGAATGGTGCTCCTCCTTGAGTTCCTTCGTTCCTTCCTTGACCGAGTCCACCATTACTAGCTCGATTTCTATGTGGACGCACCCGCCAATCTTTCATCCTCTCACGCTAGCAAGGTCCTCATCTCGAGCGACGCTTTCGACCAAGTCAGCACTTTGCCCTCTTTGAATTACACAGTCGCTCAGACAACAGTGCACTCACTCGGGAACGATAAGCCGAACGCTATCTCAAGGCCTTGGCTGCGAATGCCAGCAGTACTGAAGCCACATAGCTCTTCTTGAACAAGAGAGATCATAATTAGAGACGATATTGTTTGGCTCGAAATCGAACATAAGTCACGTGATAGCTGATGCTGAGACTCGGGCATCTGCTCTTCTTGATCTATTGGTATTATCATCTATTCATAAGGTTGCTACTTTGCTAAATCATCGAATGCCGAATGATGTGCAGAACTTGGTCCCCCTCGGCGCCCGCGAAAAGCTCACAATACTCTCATATTTGGTACATGATGGATCCAGGATCCTTTCACACCTAATCGGTGTCCACAATTTCTTCTTTCCAGCGATCTCATCCTCATGCTCCGGGCGTCTGTGCTTTGACAGCATCTTCACCTATTCAGCCCTCTTCGACTTCTCGGCAAACTTCTTCGCCTTTCGCCTCATCCGCTCTTTCCTTATTTCCACTCTTGTCCAGTTTCACTTCGCATCTTTTCCTGCCCTCTCCACTCCTATCTGCTCGCCCTATAGGTCGAGGTGCATATGTCAAGCGCATCTCGCAGGCCAGACCAGCCTTGCGAGTTTTGGCGAAAAAGGCGACCAGCTGATCAGCCTTTGATATTGCTTATCTCACTCAGGGGCAAGGGTTTTACTTGCTTTTGGGAATGTCGGGCTTCGGGGCCTGCTCAATGAATATGGTGAGGAAATGGCCTGCTCAATGACCTTGGTGGCGGAGTTGAGGCAGAAAAAGCGCAATGACGGCGTGAGGTTAAGTTCATCGGGGGTAGGCTTTTCGTCGCACAGGGGACAGTAAGGTAACGGGGCGGAGATCTCCATGGCGACGAATTCAACATGAGAGTAGGTACTGAGATCAACGTATAGAGCACCTTTTAGTCTTTGTTGAAATCCTGGGAGGGTGTCGGAGGGCGGCTCATGCTAAGGTGGCGATCGTGCATAGAGCGTGGTGTATGAATGCTCTTTCATTTGAGGGTAAGGCAGCTTTATTTTGCGCCCTCATCGATCCCACATCATTGAGTTCTACGGCTCTTGGGCAGAAGACAATATCACGAAGCAAGATCGCTTCAATCGCGCTGTACCATTGATGCACAGCACTAACGCATACCTGCATACTGATCAGAGGTTTTTGTTTGCTACGAAAGAAAACAAAAAGACCCTCCCTCCCTCTCTTTTCCTTCCTTCCTCTTCCTTGGTCTATCTTCTTATCTGCCAAACAGCAAGTTCTTCAACTTGCTATCGATTATATCATTACGTCCGTGCTCATCAACTCCCTTCTTCTACAACAGCCCCTCTCCATTTTCATCTTATCTCTGTCTTAACGCAGACTTTCTATAGTCGTCATGACACTTAGTCCCTCCGACCAGCTGACTTCCCAAACGCGCCTGCCGATCGCTGAAGCCGACAACTGCAGCAGAAGTGACAGCGTCAGCAGCATTAGCAGTGTCGGCAGCAGCATCTTCGGTCGCATCGCTGAAGACCACCCGATAGAGAATGACACTTTGGAGAATGGCACTAGGGCCAATTTATGGTTCGACCTCGAAAAGGTCTACAACTTGCACGACGTACAGCACATTCAGTTCTGGCCTTTCAAGAAGAAGGTCGTAAAAATCGTTGGATATGGAAAGGTCAGTCTACGCCTCCGTCTATATCGATCTAGCTTCATTGCCCTCAATCAATGTCTTTTGTCTGCGATCCTCGCCGCGCCCACAACCATCAGCCTCCGGCTGACGCTTTTTACGCAGCGCCATCAACGGTTATGCACTCAGTGGTCCTGGGACTCTTTGAAACTGACAGAAGCCGCGCTCAAATTTATCGGAAACGAATTCGCAGGTCATGTTAAGAATATTACGCAGGTGGAAATGCCGCACAACACAGGAGGGCAAGTGTACCTTGTTGACTTCAACGACACTGAGGAGGAAGAGGATTGAGTTGGCATATGAGAAGGAAAGGGAAAATGACGAGTGAGGTGGAAAATGGGGAGGGAATGGGAAGACGGAAAAAGTGAAATGCGCATTCACATATGACATTAGGAGTATATGGTTCGGATTTGGTGGGGGGAAAAATGACATGATTCACTTATGACAATGTCATGACGTACAATGTGTCTTCTACATTTCCAAAGAAGATACCTGTTGCTTTCTTGAGTATATCTACAGAAGTCCCTCTCTGACTTCCCTGACTTCTTCAAAGCGTGAGAACAACGAGTAGACGACATCTCAGCAACGGCACCATACCATTATTTGACACGAGACAATCCCTGACTACGCGCGTCCATCGCACACGCCAGGTTCTTCAACGCTGCCACTCTCCTTCCCTCCAACTGGAAGATTGTCATAGCATTGATCTTCGGAGCAAATCAGTGTCAATGCCCGTGGACCCCCGCACTCATTCAAACCCAAACTCAATCGATCATACAAATAACCTACGCGTCCCCCAAGGCCTCCTTTCCAACCTACATCCACCTCGCAATCTCCCCTCTCCCCTCTCCCCCTGCCCTCGGGTTCCGGGATCAACTATTATCCTCTCAATATCCTTTACACGCAACCTTACGCCTCACAATAACCAAACCCACCGCCCGCATAGCAAATGGCATACCCCAACTTCGCCCTGTCCCCACTACCACCACTACTACTACTACTACAACTACCTCGAAAAACCACAAGCACTAGAGACGCCGCTGCTAGCGCCGCGTTAACGCCTTCTACGCGAGTATCTTACTCGTCCTCCCCTATACCTTCTTCCTTGGTGCGACAGAGGGATCGATGTTCTGTAAGTCGAGGATGCGCTTGTTTGGGCACTGTCCGGGATAGAGCCGGCCTATATTGCTTGTATGTTGGGAAGTTCGTTACGGGTGGTTGGAATGGTAGATGGCTAATAGTGGAAGGGGATGCGAGCGGTGTTGGTGTGGCTGCAGTGGCCTGTGGAAGTGTGGCTTCTGGGAGGGGGGGCGGGGCAGTGATTGGGGTTTGGGGAGATCTGGTGGAGGGGTAGGAGGGGGTGAAGATGGGGATGGTGGATGGTCTGGGGGATGGCAAGGCGATGGTGGGAATGTGACTGGGAGTTGTAGCTGTGGCAGGAAGCGGGGGAGCTGTGAGCTGGATGGTTCAGAAAGGGACAAGAGATATAGGGCGATAGAGGTGTGGTATGAAACAGCTGTCAGTAAAATACAGCCACCTCGATAGATTAATATAGCTGGAGCCAACCCATATCGTAGTTTTGGCATATACTCAGCCCGTCAATCGGCCTCTACGTACTTTGGCATCTTCCCAATTCGCGCAGAGCATCAAGCGTTGGCCTTTCGCAGTGACTTCTGGGGCATAACAAAGACGACCCTTTTAAGTAGGTCACCATCTACACCATTAATCGTCACCCATCACACAGCCCCGTCCTACACCACCTCAGCTTCTTCCCTCTCATACCTCGCCCGAATGGAATAGGTGCCAGCACGTGGAAACTTTGTCGCAGAAAACACAATCCCGCCAACGCGATATCTCCAACCATTTCGGCTGCGCGCGCTGTCGACAACCCCACCAAAACCAAGATGACGATGACATGATTTAAGACGTGAGATTTTATGATCGCTTTTATAATTGCCTACGCTAAATTCGTTTACTTATACCTGCTTTAAGTCGATTGTTGGAAAGTCTCTATTATCCCATGTAGCCCAATTAAGACGTTGACTAATAGTTCAGAAGAAACAGAACGATGTGCTTATCTGTCCAGACTCCCATCCAGCCGTACTCTGATGAAAGACATTCTAGCATCGAGATGTTCGATCGTATGCCTAACTATCAATCTTCATCCTTGCCGGGAGTCGTACAAGTTTTCTGGCCGCGCACAAATTTCTCTGGTTCGTCTTATGCGTTACATCCATAGAACAGCCTTCGCTATGCCGTAGTTTGATCTTCCCTTTCTTTGTCTATCTATTATCGGCTTTTCCTGCAAGGGTCTCTCCTCCCGCAGGTACGTTATATAGCGTTGTCTATTCCACATACTTAGCAAGCTGCGTCTCTTCCTCTTCTTGCGTACGCTTTCGTTTATAGGCGTCTATAGAGCTTGGGGAGTATATGACTCGAATAGGGGGACGTCCCTAGTAGAAGATTCCTTTGGTGGTAGTCGATTCTCCTTGCTACCGGAGAAGGAAATTTTGTAGCTAGAGAGAGAATAGGCATCGCCGGCGCAGGTTTTGGCTTAAGGATTAAATGCGATTGTTGGATGAGTTTAATAAGATGCGGTATAAGATTTCTCCGATAGCTCCAAATCCATAATATAGTAGCGAACTATATACGTTTCGGTTTCTTCGCGTGCTTCTTAATCGCTTGTAATAGGCCGCTTATTTTTATAACTCCAAAGCCACCTTATTGGAGGCTATTTTTCCCTGGATATAAAACCTTCTCAGGAAACTACATCTTTCGAACAGTACTATTAGATGTCGATATTTAAGTATGTGGCGAGCTGCGGTCTTAGCGTTAAGCATCCCTAAGGTATGGAATGCGAGAATCAATGTATGGCTGTCGACTCTGGAGTCCAATCCGTAGCTATTAATAAAAAGATAGCGAGCTACTAAAATTGCTAGGTTGAATAGCTTTGTCTAGATAAAAAATAATCATCGTAAATAGCGAGATCGTTAGGGCAGAAAAAGAAAGGGTAAAACATTAAGCAATAAGGAAGAAGGAAAGAGGGACATGATATAGAGAGGACATTTGGGGAGGGTAGATTAGGAACCGAAATGCAAATGCGCTCCATAGCCGATGCTCTATCGTGGCAAGCGCGGGGGCAGCCACTATCCCCTAGTGACGGGGCGTCAATGTTCGCTTTCGTTGGATTAGGGGGCGAGAGTGGTTGAAAGGGACGGGTGAGAAGGGGCGGAGGAAAGTTAAGGGAGATAGGAAAGAGGCCGAAATAAGAGGGGAGAAAACGGGTTGGCTAGCTGGCTAGGGAAGGCGTGAAGAAGGCAAATGCGATTGGTTTCGATTGTTTAGCACGTCGTTCTTATACTAATATTTCCGTCTATATATAAAAGTTATTTTCATTTCTTTACTATGCCTATGCTCCTTTCCTTCAGTTGCCTAGTATTGCGAGACATTTCTCGATACTTGAGGTCGTTGACATTGACTTCGTCTTATAGCCGCCAGAAAACTATTCCGCCCGCTATGTTGGCTGCGGAAGTTATATCTGCAGCAGCGCTCTAAGTAATGCCTCTCGGATCCTCTGGATTCAACATAGCATTAATATAATCTCTTCCCGTTCGACGTATTTCTCGCCTCCCATTAGGCTGCAGCATGTTCGGGTCGGCCGCTAGTAGGCTTGAGCGGCCATCGGAAGGCACTAGTGGCTATCCGGCTTCCCGAAATTGGTTTTTTAGCCTTTTACCAAGCCGCCGGCCCTGAAGATCTAGTGAACTAGGCGGATTATAAGTTCTTAGAGATCTTAGAGGCCTTCTAGCGTAGCTTAGACTTTATCTTTTACGACCTAGCAAATCTAAACTTGTAGTTCTTTTAGCGTAGCTTGTACCGAATTATTTATAATTTAATATATCTAGCTTTAAGTAGATTTTTTCAACTTAGAAGTATTCTCTAGAATTAATAGAAGATAGCTTTCTTGTTGTAGACCACTTAGTTGAGGGTTAATTCCTCCTTTAATTAACATCTAACTATAATTTAATAGTCAATATAAAATATTAAATAGGTGTATATCTAAAGAGTATGCTTCTAAACTTATTAAAGACAAAATTGTTAGCGGGGGGTAATTATATTATAAAACTCTTTAGATTATATATTTAAACTTTAAAGGTAGGTAGCGCTCTTCTAAACACTAGCTTATCGACTATTTAGTCTAAGGGCTAAGATAGTTCTAGATTATAAGATTAGAAGTATACTTTTTTAAATAGAGTTAATATAAATAATAGAGGTTATTCTAGCGGAGGGTAAAGAGCATTAGTATAAATAAATCTAAGAATAGAGTTAGTAATATAGTTAAATTCTAATAGGTAGCCTCTATACTAACAAAAGTCCTTAAGCTATATAGTAAGTATTATAATTTACCTATCTATATATAATAGAGCGTCTATTATAACTTTATCTAAAGCTAGCTTATTGAAAGACAACTAATAATAGGACTGTACAGAGTATATAAAGTATTTTTAGCGAGATCGCATAGTAGTAAACATCTTATTAGGATTGCGACGCTTAAGGATTACTAGAACAAAAATATTTTATTATAGAGAAGTCTTGTTTATACTAGATAAAAATCGCTCTAGACAATAGTCTAGCGCACGTTCTAGTCAAGGAAGGCGCAAGGGCTATAATTATTCTAGTAGGGAACAAGAACGCTAGATAGTAAGGATATATAGTATAATAAATATTATTGTCTTTTAAGCTAGTCTTACATTTTTCTTAAGGAGGAATCTAAGGCTATTATTTTATTAAGGCAAGTATAGAGGGGCTAATTTAGTAAGCTATTAGTAAAATAGTACTACTAATAAACCCCTATATTTAACTTAATTACTTGCTATACTATGTTAATAGTAGTAGCAATTGATTTAGCTAGGTAAGAGGGCTCCTCACGTCCTAACTAACTAATAGTAGCTAAAATTATTAGTAGTAGATATTATTAAAGAAACTCTATCTACAAGCGCGCTAGAGATAGCTATAGTCCTTATTACTCTACTAGCTAAATAAATAAGTATTAGGTAAATATAGTGGAGTCTACTAAGCTAGTAGACTATTTAGCTATCTAATAATATAACTAGATAAGTTATACTTAGAGTAGCTCTATAGGTATTATAAGATAGAGTTTTAAGAGTAGGGTTTAAGGCTATTAACTTAGCTCCTAGATCTAATAGTACTTATACTTGTATAGAGAAATTAGTTAGAAGAAGGAATAAAAGAATATATAATAGTAAGCAACTAGCTATAGTAATAATCTT